ATTTGTTCAGGAGGTAATTATTGTTATTTTGATCCTAGTGAGGCAAGAAAGCAAACGGGAGGCAAAAAAATGGAACCGCGAGGTTTCATTGAAATTGCATTCGCGCCAATTTCATTTTCATAATAAACGGGAGGGTTTCTTGAACTTAACACGTATGGGATGTTGGACTCATGGGTTAGGATATTTGACATTTATTTTTTTAAAATATTTGAATGTATAGAGAAAAATATTGTTTTTAGAAGTATAATTGTTATTATCTGAAAACTACAAGTGGTTGTGTCACATGTATGTCTCATAATAACTTTTCATTATCCGGTGTTGGTTGAAAAAAATATCATTGTGCACAGAAGTTTAGGACATAAATTATTAAAATGATCTATTGTCATTTGCAAATACTTTCTAGTTATTGGACACAACGTTTTCTCGAAAGTGAAAGCAGCTGAATGCAGGCCACGCCTTCACGTCATATATACATTATCATGGGGCATCACATGTCATAGTTTCATTTTTGCCAATTAGAAAAAATATTCTCCACGATTGGGTGTTAAAAATACTAATACCTACAAATACTATACTAAATTCACTCTTAAATGAACAGTTACTTGAGTTTAAGATTAAAGAAACAAAACTGAATAGGTGGGATCACCAGCTATTTAAATAAGGTTATTAATTTTACTAGCTTACGTACATGTCCATTAAATTTAGCATTTTCAAACAACCTGTTTTCTTAAATTTGAAAACGAGGTGCAAAATGTTAAATTTTAGATATAAAATAATTGATTTTGACAAAAAAAATCAACAATTTTTTTTATTTTCGTTATAAAAAAATGGGTTGAAACCAGAACGGTAGAAGTGACATTTTCTAAATTCTGAGAAAACCGTTTATTTTAGACTTTACTTCAGAGACAATGTATTTTCGTAGTTTTAATAAAAAATTAATATACCGTGATTTTAATAACGAAACAAAGCTCCACAAATTTACCGTAATATTGACTGAAATAAACAAATTTCATAGAATTTATAAAATGTCACACCGTTCTGGTTTTCACGTATTCTAATATTTTATTTTATTACGGGAAAGATGGGTTGCTAGGTAGCAATCTCCACTTCCGCCTTACGCAATCCTCCAGGAGGAAGATTAATCTGGCGGGGATTAGAGTGCGGCCGGTAAATTCCAGACAATCACGGAATCTCGTCGTCACGCACGATTTCCGCGTCGATTGTTTCAATATTTTATTCACTTACAATGAAGAAATCGCTATTCCGTAATCACCTCTCGCCTCACGCCTGCAATGCCGCCAAATCACAGCTCAGTGGTTCAAAACGCAATACTGAAAGGCCCAAACTTGAATGCAGATCTCAGAAATTTAGAACCAAACTAAGTTTCAAAATAGCCCAAATGTTTAAAAATGGAGTGCTGAATATTTGCATTTTTTATGGTGTGACAATCAAAACGTTTTATTTAGTAAGTTTCTTTAAGAAAGTGTCCTGATGATCCAAATAATAATAATAATAATAATAATAATAATAATAATAATAATAATAATAATAATAATAATAAATAATAATAATAGTTATAATATATAAGCTTACAATTCCAACAAAAATTCTTTGAACCTCAGAAGATGCACCAATTTAAGTTCTTTCGTAGTAACCTGAAGTTGTCGATTCTAAACATTTACGATATTTCATAATTGGATATTTGAACACGCCTTTGAAGTAAGTAAGAGGTACAGCACACCAATAATAATATATTTCAACGTAGAAATGGGGTTGCTGTCCTAACATATTCCTTTTCATCTTTTTTAAATTATATCTCACTAAATATTTCATATATGAAGTGATCACTAATTGAATCATTATGTTGCTACCAGAAAAATATATGCCGCGATTAGTTACTCAGTTCCCTCCATTCCCGTATGGTGTGGAAGTAATCTAAATCTCGCAGTCATAAAATTACAAAGTCATTATACTAGCGTTCTCTGAATTCAGAATTGTACTATACCAGTAATTTAGTAATGGGGAAAAGACAGAATAGTGATGTCTAAACCCACTTAGTTCTCTTTCAAGAAGATTTCAAAAGAACCAATGTTCATCTCACTCTTCATACACGTGTGACGAAGATTCGTGTGTTTCTACTGTTTCTCTGGCCTCTCCTTTCCCCTTTTTCGTGTTTGCGTTTTTTATAAATAAATAATTTTCACAGACGAAGGTATCATTTCAAATTTTTATATAATTTTATTATAAATTAATTGTGAGCAAGTTAACCTGTTCAAATATGTCGCAAAATAATAACGCACATTTTAGCAGCAACCTTTCCAATGCTACTGGCAATCGCGTAGAAACTGAAAAGAAATTTTAAAAAAGTAGTATGTATCTACAGTTATCTTTGAGTAATGTAGAGACGGCGATACAGCCGTCTAGTTCGATGGTTCCCGGGACAATGACCCGTCCCATTTCCTGTTCATTAACCCATTCTACCCGGTGTCTTCTTAGGACATGGATGTGTGTGACTACCAAATCCACACATTGTATGTTATTATATTACAGAATCAATTATACCTTCTCTGAAAAATATATTCGGAAAATGCGTTCACATTTATGTCCGCCTTGAGCAACTCGCTACCTCTTACTTCACTCTTAAATGTTCATGTTGAACCTGGTAATTGGAACGCAACATCCTATATTTTTGCGTTTATTATTCTTTGTGGTGTAAAAAATGTAGGCCATTGTTCCAAAATATGTAGTTCTATTGTAAAAGTCTTGCCTTAACAATCCAAGTTTCGGCCATCGTGAACCGAATTTGGACCGAATCGATTTCGGGAATCTTCGCCAACGCGCGCCAGAGGATCGAGATAAACTTGTTAGGGAGCGATACAACTGTAGCGGCGAAGCCCGTTAATCAGATCACTACAAAAGAGCAGCCGGTAATTACAGCGACGGACGCCGAACTGCGTGCTCTCGCGGAAACGGACGATTTAATCCGCTCGCGGACCAGCGAGAGGCCCGAAGGAAGGGGGAGGAGTGGGATGAGTCAGGAGGGCAGAGGAATTTGGTGGGGCGGGAAGGGATGGGATGGAATGGAGTGGGTATGCCGAGATGGACGGAGCGCAATCTGACGGCGCCCAATCGGACGGAGCGCAATCGGACGGAGCGCAATCGGATGGAGCGCAATCGGATGGAGCGCAATCGGACGGAGCGCAATCGGACGGAGCGCAATCGGACGGAGCGCAATCGGACGGAGCGCAATCGGACGGAACGCAATCGGACGGAGCGCAATCGGACGGAATGAAGCCTGGCGGTGTCGGGTGAGGTGTGGGAAGACGGGGCGCAGTCGGACTTAAAGAAGGGGAACGGTATCAAGAAGGGTAAAGCGGAACATGTAGTTTTGTGGAAGGTGCGGGGTGCAATGGAAGTTGGAGAAGGTCGTGAGAAGGGCGGTGTGGAAAGGAAGTCTGAGGGGTTGGTGGCGTGCCATGGGTAAAGAGAACTTAGGGCGAAAGGTGGAGTGACAGCGGGGTGAGGAGGGAGCGGTAAGGAAGGGGGAGGGAGGGAGGGAGAGAGCGAGAGATAATAAGTATGTGGAGGCGGGGTAGGAGAAAAATTGTGGTAGATAGGGGGGAGTTGAGAGGGAGGGGGACCTGGCGGAGAGAGGAACCAAGATGGGTGGAGAGGAAGTGGTGCAGGAGGGACCTCGAGTGGGTAGAATAGGTAGAGTGAAGGGGGAGGGGAGGAGACGGGTCGCGTCGTGTCTGGTGGCGCGGAGCGAGGCGCAGCCAATGATTCGGAACGAGCGCGCTTCGGCGCGGCGCCTTCGGCAGACGCTCAATGGAGTGTGGCCAAGAAGAGGCACATCTTCGTTTCGTCTCACAAGGATTATTGCTCCTCTGCGAGCCCGCGTTTTTTTTATTTCATTTTACAAGCAAAACGATCTGATTGCAATATATCTCTTACGGTTTTCAATAGTTTAGGAATGTAAGTAATACACATGTTAGGGATAATTTAAAAAAAAACATCGAAGATTCTATAGTCGCTGTGGACACGGTCTCACGCTGTTAAGTCCAAGCATCTGAAACGCTTTCGCAGCGTGGTGCAAGAAGACTCGGAATGTGCATTCAAACTCCAATAAACATATAAATCTGCTATCCAGGAGATGGTTATAAAAGGAGGTAACAAAAGAATTGAAAGTATCGGAACGGAAACTATTCTTGGCATGGTGTAATTACATTCCCGCTACTACACGGCGACTACGGAAAATATGCTCTCTGGAAGATTACCAAGACAACTAGTGTATGATGCATAGTTTCCATTCACATGGAATTTTTGCATAGAATATTGCATATTTTGATTTTATGGTTACGTTATTAACGTACCATAATTACGTATTACAAAATTGTTCCAATGTATACCAATGACACAGCAATTAATAAAAAAATAGAAAAATGTAGTCTAGAGAGAGTTTTTTTTCAACTTATGAGAAGTTATTAGCAAAATTAATATTTGAATTAACCGCAGATGACTCAGCAGTTGAGAAGTTTCACAGCACATAATATACAACCAAACAGGAGTTTAGAGGAAAGTGTCGATCTGAACAAATTTTACTTATCAGTAATATTTTCCTAACTTTGAATAACATATAATTCAAATAGAAGGGCGTCTTGATTGAATCGAAATCTATGTAATAACCTTGTGATGTCACAATCCGAATGTCGCGTCAAAACAAAACTCCACTTCCCGCCAATCCCCCAATCCTCTCGCGTGACGCCGTCCCGGATACCAAAGACATCGCGTCCTGAAGAGCGTCTCGAATTTTTCGTAATCGTTTTATGAGGGACTGTTAGCAATATTGCACTCTGTTGAGCGGCCAATTACATGTTATAATACGAGCCGTAAAAGCAGATCGTAACACCTGATTGCTCCGGCTGTGCGCCGCCGCCCACGGATCTATTCGCTCCCAACACTGGCCACCGCCCCGCGCAGGATCTCAAGAAAGTACTCACCCCTTTCGCTTGGAAGATCTGGCAGAACTTTGGTAAGTCGATGTTCTCCTCGCCGCACAACACGTACGCGACGCTCTCCACTTGTTCCGCGAAGTCTATCTGTTTCTCATCCCTGGAACAAAAGAAGAGCTTAAGAAAAAGAAATCTTTGAACGTTTTAAACGTAATGTACCATGAAATGATTATATGAATAAAAATAACAGACGAATCATTATCAAAACAAATTATTTTTCTACAAAAATCAATACCGAGTTAACCGACTTTACAGAATACTTTTGCATTGTTGGCTCTGTAACATTCGGGACGTAATTTTCTCAATGGCGTAAGTGATATTTGAAAGACACAGCAAATAAAACCTAATGCTTTTTATTTTTTCATCTCTTGATATTTAGTAGACATACTTCTCTGAGCAGCACGAGTAATACTTAAAGCTCTCTCCAGTTATACTCACAGTCACTTTTTAAAAATAAATTCTTTAAAAATAGTAATGTTGCCTATGAAAGTATTACATCATTGGAGAACAAGATATTTGAAATTTTTGGCATTGAATTGCATTGCGTTGCATTGCATTGCATGGTATTTTATTATATAAACCGTATGTATTCTGAACAATCGTAATAAAATAAAGAGTAGTAAATATTCTTTAAAAAACTTTATTCAATCGCTTCGCTCTATATGTTCTCAAAATAATTATATTTCATATAATCTATCTACTAAATCTACTACGAAAGAGAAAATAAATATTACTCTAAGTTTTAAATCATCGAGACAAAATTATACTTTGTAAATAATTAAAATATATATAAATATTCCAAATACAAATTAATTTTTTTAGGCAATTTGTGTTGATATTATATTTTCCTCGCAGCACTTTGTTCAATGTTTCTAATCCAACTGATATTAAACACAATTTCTGACAATAATATTGTTCATTGAAGAGGTTTTATCGCCTGCATGAACGCAAGATCTACTGAAATTCAATCGATAAGACACAGAGCAACAACCTTTTTCCAGCGGAAGAGAGGGACAACATTATACTAGCCACAAAAAGACGAAAAAACACAACTTTGGAAAATACTAATCTTCCGCCAACCCGCATCTAAAATGCTCAAACCACAAACAATTTTACCGTCATTCATTCTTTCAGAAATATGTAATTAAGCAATTATCGAGCAAGGAATTTTCGATACAATGTATTTTCTGAATCCCAATTACTTGTGGCTCCGAGTTAAATAAATCACTCGTAAAAAATAAAACAAGCCATTGAAAAAAGAAAAATAGGAATGCATAAAGTATTTGCTGCAGTTGCAGTGAGCACTGGGTGATATATTGGAGATATGGGATTTTCGATTAACATTCGATTCCGTGTAAACCATTTGTCAGTGAGAAATATGTCTGCTGATTTAGGAGGAGATGATGAGATCGTTACTGGTTGGAAAGAGATCAGAAAGTCATTCAAATTATCTCTGGATTATCCGAGTATATTCGTATCAGAGGTATTATCGCTTCCAATTACGTCGGATAATCGCGGCGAGTCTTCTGTCTATTATTATTATTATTATTATTATTATTATTATTATTATTATTAAAGAAATTCCTCCAATATGGGATAGCGGCGCAAGACAATTATGCGTGCCCCGCGCTCGTAGGGTCAAACTCCTTAAACACCAAGACGATGTATGAAGACTCGGGATGGGTATTCAGACGTCGATGAATTTATTTATGGGCGGTCCGCGAGCCGCATACAAGGTCAGGAACGGGCCGTGAACAAAGAGCGTGCAAACCTCTGTGAATCGAAGGGGAGGGGGGGGTTGTGCCGGAGCGTCTTCAAGGAGATCGAGGTGCGCGAAGCCTCAGGCGCGGGAACGCCGCGCCCGCACGTGTTCCACGCGATTTATTTGCAGCGTGGGAGGAGGCAGAAGAATTTAACCCTGTAGCTCCCACTGTTGCTTTCCAATGGTCGTTGGAGGACGCGAGTGTTTGTGCATTTTTGTGCAATCAAAATGGAATTTGATTGGAAATGAACTCGGAATAGGACTAAACAATACGAGTTTTTCTATTATTTCTCATATTTGCTTTGCTGCTGTAATATTAATAGAATGAATAACTAATAATAATAATAATAATAATAATAATAAATAACAATCATAATAATAATCATAATAATAACAATAATAATAAAAAATAAATGATACTAATGATAATACTGATAATAATAATAATAATAATAATAATAATAATAATAATAATAATAATAATAATAATAATAATGAGAATATCTCCAAAACAAAATTCATCAATAATTGCAAAGAAGTATCTAGCGATAAGGGATGAAAGAAATGTTGAAAGTAAAAATATTGACCTTTAATATTGTATTCGAACAATTTTCAATTGAAATTCACCCAAAATATTTTTAATACTAAAAATGAAAAATTTAATACAATAATAATTTCAATTTTAAAGAATTGTTATCTTTGTAAATGGATGTAATTCATATCTACTTATCCAAATCAACAGCAATATAAATTCAAATATTATGACAAGAATATTAATTTCACAATCACTCTTAAGGAATATTTCACATTGACAGAGAGAAAATTAATGCTGCGAATTATAAACATTTCAGAATTGCGTGGAGACATATTAAAATTGGAATTTGGGGTAAGACTTAAGTGGCATTGAAGGAGAGAAATCTTGTTAAAATGATGTAGTAGAGCTTAAATTATGACGATGTAGGCAGAGATGGCTCATGAGGTGGAGTTTGCAAATGAAGAGGGAGTGAAATCGCAGGCGGGCAAACAATAGTAGTTCTTACTGCATACGAAGCAACAAAGATGGAAGCACCAGCGGCGGCCATGGCGCAGGACAAAAAGTGAAAGTGGAAGATGAAACTTGACAGTTATAGGTACCGTGAGGACAGAACATACAGGAAGTACATACTGACGATTGAGAAATTAAGAATGAAAGTCTTCGATTGTCGTTGGTATGAGCTAATGGCGTTGCGGAGACAAAGGCATACCTGGATGGCATAAGGAGGGTGATATTAATATTGGTTTCTTGGTGATGTATTATTGGCATTCCAAAAATTTGAATAAAAGGTGATGTCATTATCAACATTTTTTATTTATAAATAAATAGCTTTCGATTACTTTAACCATCATCATAAGATGTGGTACACAATATAGATTTAAACGCATTAAGGAATAAAACAATGTAAATACTAGATTTCAGAGTACTTAGTTAATATTAGTTTCCTTAATAAAACCAATAATAATATTACTTGTCAATAATATTTCTTTAGGGAGCTTTTTATATAAGACAATACCTTCATATTGTTTGATTACAAATGATTTTAAATCTGTTGTCTAGTGATTGCTAAGCCGTCGCAAATTCCTAGTATTTTAAATAAAATGTAAGATTAGAATCAGAAAAGTTTCTAAGAACAACCAAAGTAATAGGTCCCCCATTAATATTGAATCAATTATTCAAAATGGGTATGAAATTCAACTTTTAGGCATTTAAAACATCTTTACTAATATTAATGAATTAATGATTTTAATGTCATTGATGTCATTAATAATTTAATGTCATTATGATTTTAATGTCTTCATTGTGGGACCCGATCAAGTAGGGGCGTTGAACACTGCATTTCGTCTATGTGTTACATTATCAATGGTCATAAGAGATTGTTTGAGTTATTTATCTCCATTATTGTCTTTCAAAGTATTGAAATGTACAAACCTTCAATGACAATATTTGGCATAAACCATAAGTTACGGCATAAGTAAATTCACGGCGTTAGAAAATTGACAACATTGGAGGTAAGTTCACATAGAAACATTTGATCAGCGTACAATAAAATTTAGCATGATTTTGTGAATTTAATAATTGATGTAATTTGTTATCAACTCTAAATTTATCTAATAATTTGTTGAGTTTAGTTCAGACTCATAGTTGCTTCTGTCCCTGCAGCTGTTCTGTCAGCGCTGACCACACGATCATGTGGGGAAGCACTCCTCCATCTCCCAGCATAAAAAATTCACTTCACTAACTGACTAATTCCACGGCAGGTGATTTGCCCGAATTCGGCAATAAACCATATAATCAATTAGATTTAGAATGAATATTTCACTCGTGAACTTAAATTCCAAAGTGTTTAACTACATATTGCCCAGTCAGGGCGGTGAACCTAAATAAAAATAGTGCTTTTCTACCCAATTTTTCGTAACGTCTCCTCCCTACTAGCCAATAATAAGTTGCGAATTATCGTAAGAGGCAATACGGATCAATCGTGGTATTGGCGTGCAATAAACCGCGTATGTACCATAACATAACCTCTTTCATTTTAACATTCTTCCAGTAATTTTCATCGTTTGATGCGTTATGGAACTGTGTTGGACGTAATTTCATTCGTCAAATAGTTCTATTAGATACCACCCGTGCTTTGGAAATTTTCAGATAAATCTCCTCCTCGCTTCGAGTGTCGGGGATTTATTGATAATTTTCAATGTGCACATGGTATTACCTACGACTATTCCACTCGTTGAATTAAAATCAATAGTGTTTAACTATGCATACAAATTGGCCCAATCTGGGCGTTGTATCTCAAAAAGTTTATCGCTTCTTCTATCTGATTTGTCTTACAGCTTCTACCTACTGGCCAATCATAAACTGCCACACATCCATCTTAGGAGGCGGTACACATCGATCGCTATGTCGATGTCCAACACCGTATGTACTATAACATAATATCTGATTTTAACATACGCTTTCAGTTATTTTCAATATTTGAAACATTTTGGAACTCTCTTGAACATAATTTCGTGGAATAGTCCCGTAAAATACCACCCAATAAATCCCTTCCTCGCTTCGCGAGTTGGGGATTTATCTGCAATTTCCAAAGCACTCGTGCTATTACCTGCGATGATCAAGGCCATAGAACTGAGTGCACAAGTGGCAACAGCGTCCGTGTGTGCGGTAAATGCAGCGGTGAGTGCGGGGGGGGCGGCGCGGGGCGGGCGGGGCCGGGCGGGGCGGTGCGGGCGGGGCGGGGCGGGCGGGGCGGGCGGGGGCGGGCGGGGGCGGGCCGGGGGGGCCCCCGGCCCCGGGGGGG